ACGGGATCTCCAAGAACACTATCATCTAATAAACTTTTATTTTCATTTGTTCGACAAGGTAATGTTGCAGATTTACTAGAAGATGAGAAATAATTTGAACTAAAAAAAAAAAAAAAAAAGAAAAAATCTTATTTATACTTTAAAAAATTTCTTTTACTTATTCAAATCACTTAATGTTCGTCTATGTAAAGAAATTGAAGGTGTATCAACATGTATAATTTTAAATGAAGCTGATTTTTCTAAATTTTTCTGTAATTTTTCACAACATGAATCATTTTGATCATCAGGTTCAATTATTAATGATTGTTTAAAATTTTGATCTTCAACAAATGTTTGTAATTCTTCCATATATCGTACAGATGCAAGATAATTTTGAACACATTCAATTGGTTTAAGAAATTCTATGAAATGAAATTTTTTTTTTTTGTTTTTGAAATGAAAAATTGAAAAAATAAACAAACCATAAGTTGATTGTTGAAATTCTGATATAATTCGACAAATATTATTCATAGCATTTTTACGTTGATTTGTTTCAAGTCCACCTCGATGTGGATGAAGTGTATCAATACGAATTATATCAGTTAAATAAATACCTTTAATTATATTTAAAAGTTCTGAAGATCAAAAAAAAAATATTCTTTAATTTCTTACCAAGATATGGTATACATGGTAATTTTGTATTACTTAAATGATGTCTTAATCGTTTCCAATTTTCATTTGATGATACAAATTCTTTTAAATTTGAAAATGTTGTACGATCACGTTTACTAAGACTCTAACAAAACAAATAGAATTTTATTTCATTATAAAATTGATATGAATTATATTTTTTTTTACCATCCAAGTTTTTTGTAATCGATAAATTGGTGCACTTTGTAAAGCCATAACAACAGCCATACATGCATTTATATTATTGAAATCAAAAAGTTTCTTTAAATAAAAAAAGATTTTATGTCTAGTTTTTTCAAAAAAAAAATTAAATTTTAAGACTTTTTTTTTTTCTTTACTTTAGCAACTCGAATAAAATGTGATAAAATTTCAGTACGATTTTTAAGTATATCAGCACGTAATAATTCACCTTGAGTCCAAAAGTTAACCTTTATTTTTAAAAGATTAAAGAGAAAACAAGTGAATAAAAAAGATGAGATGTATTTTAATGATTAAATACTTGATTAAAACGACGAGTAAATTGAACTATATAAAAAGCTTTTTCTAGTTTTGATTTTGAACTCCAACTACAACTGATTAATTCCTATAATTAAAAAAAAAAACAAAACTAATGATTTTATTTTGTTTTGCTTTCAAAAAATTAAACAATGTACATCTGGAGTTATTGATTTGAATACTGGTAGATCCATTAATGTAATTTGTGACTAGAAATGAAAAAAAGAATAACATTATTTTATTTCAGTTCAATGAACTTTATCGATTAATTAGCAGATTCTTTTGCAACCCTTAAGGGATAGCAATCAAAAAAAAATTTTTTTTATCTTTATCTCTTTCTCATTTGCATATCGTCTTAGTTTAGTTGTTATCAATCGTTCACATACATGTATTGTCTATATACCAAACTTATCTTTCAAACACAAATACACATGACATATAGTGTTGGTGTTCAACGATCGAGATAACACAATACAGAAAAAGGATTATGTATGTTCTAAAGTTTGCTCAATCAATCGTCTGTCAACAATAACAAGAAAAGAATAGAAAAAAAAAAAAAAAAAGAAGCTTTTACGTCTTATGTTTATCGGTTTCTTTGAATACGATAAGTCACTTACAGCAAAATCTTCTGGATCAACTTTTAGCACATCAAATAAAGCTGTATCATAAACAGCACAATGTAATGAACCATTTATAATAATATCATCATTATGAAATGATAAATCATTCAACAATAAACTATTGTTATTATTATTATTACTATTATAATTGTCAATTTCTTCAGTTAGAATTGAATGAGCAACGTTACTTGTATTAAGCATGATAATATATTAACTAACTAAAAGAGAAAGTTGATTTAGATTATAAAAAAAAACCAAAAATTTAAAACTATTGAATTATAATTATAATCATTAATATTGCCTTTAGCACATAGGTCATATATATATATATATATTAAACTTACTCTATGTGATATGTTCCTCTCTTTGTAGTCGTTGTAGTAGTATTAGTTGTTGTAACTGCTCTACAATTATTTTTCTTTCGTTTCTTTTTCTTGTCTTCTTTTTTTTTTCTTCTCTTCTTTCTCTTGTCTTCTTTTTCTATTCACAATTCTGTACAGATGTTGTTGATGAACATACGGTAGACTTCTGTTATGTTGACCCTCACCAATCATTTAATCGCTCGTTCTTTTTCTTTTTTTTTTTTTTTGATAATATATAGACCTATTCTATAATTCTCAAATTTCAAGGGGACAACACGAGAGAGAAACATTAATGATCAAATTACACATAGTAAACGAGAAAGAGAGAAAAATACATGAATTTTGTATTTTGGTAATTAGAAAAAAAACATATCCTTGTACTTTTTTTTTGATAATATATAAAGAGACATCCATATATCTTCTTATCTCTTCAGCTTCGGTTTTCTTTTTTTTAGTTATATCGTTCTTGGATAAGTGAATCTTCAAGTAATAATAACAAAGAACATATATAGATAAGTAAAGTACTATCAAACACTAATGATCAAGGTATTCACCTTTATAACCCTATACATATTTTATTTAATGTCAAGGCTAGTTTCTTGTCTCTATATCGACATATATGAATGAAAATCAATGAACTCTTAAATTGATATATCAAATGTGACATGCTACACACGTGAATGCACATTGATATACATCTGAATACATTGAAAATGGACCGACCGACAGACAAAGAACAAATAGAGATAATAGGTTATTGTTTAAGACTAATTGTTGAATGAACGATGAGCAGACAGATAAACATAACATATATTATTAGCGACTTGCTTTTATATTCAATCAAGGATGTATATATACAAAACAGTAGCTAACTTGACATGTAAAAATATGAATTATATTGACAATATAGAAGATAAACAAGCATCTAAAACTAGTGAAGACAAAAGAAATGACTAGTAATTTTGCTTGGTAAATTCTCATTGTAATCACATCTGTTCTGTACCTATTCATTTTCTTTTCTTCTTCTTTTTTTTCACCATTTATAAATGGATGAGAACAAGCAGCTGCTTTCTTCAAGTGTCTCACACTTCTTTTCTTTGCTGTTAAACATGCGTGTAAAGGCGATTTTCTATATTAGGTCAAATGAAGACGAAAAGCCGATGAAGAACAAGGTAAATGACGATGACGTCATAAGAAAAAGTGCGATGATCGACAGGCGCGTAGGTTTATTTTATTTACCTGAGGTTCATCGATCAGTCGCCTATTCAATCTATCTATTTACATATATATATACATAGATTTATCAACACGGGTGAAAGACAAAAATATTTGTACGAACTCTCGTTACTTTCGTTTGTAATAGGAAATAAGAAAAAAAAAAAGAAAAGAGATCAAGTGTATGTATGCACGTGCATATGATAGATGTACTTATTTGATAGCAATACTCTTTTTTTTTTTTATAATTGTACTATTTCAATAAATTGAATTGAACGTTGGTCATCATATTAATGACTTCAATTTGAATGAGTAATGAAATTCAAATAGTACGAAAATACTATAATGTTTATTCAAAATGAAACCAACAAACATTAATTTTTTTTCGTATAAAACTACAAATTACCATTGACATGATTTTATAAAAAATAGAAAAAAAAAATAATTTATTGTGTTGATGTATTTACGTACAAGATTGTTTAGTCTGATTGGAATATATAACTCAAAAGAATACAGTATTGTTTGACACAAGACTTGATTTTATCTTCTCACATTGATATAAATCACGAATAAACAAAGAAACAGTTAATATAGAAGTTATTTTAATGACATGATATTTCTATACTGTAGAAGGATTTCTCTTTTAAAATTTATTTACATAAATACGAACTGATGTATTTCATTCTAATCAAATTTAACTTCTGATATAATCTATTCGATCAAATTTCACATTAGTGGCGTATAATCGGGATTCAGACAGTAGGGGTGAAGTCGACTCAGACATGCCTAGGTTACATCACTATTTCACACAAACATGTACAATATATCTTAGACAAAGTTAAACTTAGAGAGAATTTTATTTTTAATTCATCGCAAAACTGACGAAACATAAATTTTTATTTTTTGTTGATATCAAAAAAAAAAAACAGCGCATACCTGTATTTTTTTTCATTAGATAGAATATTCATTTTTAGTTATTTTCATCATTGTGATGTATCTGCTCATGGCTTCTTCTGCATCAACACTGGAAAACAATTTTTAAAAGAAGGCAATTATTAGTCTACTACCAAGAATGCATAAGCTAGAAACTCCTGCATTTGTTTTTCGGATTGAAAAATAATTCAACAAAACTTAATAACATAACTATATATGAACCACGTTAACAGTGAAACCCACATTCATCCAAACTAGGCTTAAATTAAAGTTGAAAATAATTTCGCAAATATATAGAATATCAGTTCTCTTTTTTTTTTCAATTTCAAAATCTTTTAAAAACTGACTACGGCATTGAAAATGATCATTAGATGTCGCTAGTTCTCGTAGCATTCTATTGTAAACTAAACGTATAAATTTGAACCAGAATAAAAAGCATTAAAATTCTTAAAACAAAATAATAATTTTTTGATTTTAATTTGTTCTTATTTATTCAATTCATTAATGCATTTTGTTACAAAATTACACATCTGACATTCTTTGTTTTCCTCTAAATTGTTCATCAGAAATGGCCGCTAGTCATAAGAATAAAAAAAAAAAAAGAACATCTCATCATCTCTTGTTTATTGTCATTTTGTTTTAGATCTTGTTCCTTTTTTTTTGTTTAAAGTCACAAACACTACTATTCTCTAAAGTGTCTGTGACAATGAGTAACGAGAGCCATCCATCTCCTTCAGGCTCATCGTCATCTACATTATTCGGTAAGAACGTTGTTTTTTTTCTTTTTATCGTAGATTAACAACATAAAAAAAAAAAAAGAATTTAGTTGTCTTTTTTTTGACACATTGCTTGCTTATCTTATTCGTAAAGCACATGACCTTCTTCTTCTTGTTTATCTAAAACTAGGCGGTGGAGGTAATGCTGGTGGTAATGAACCCTTAACTCAACCATCACCAGCTAAACCAACATGGGCACAAATTCTCAATTCAAATCCAAATGCACCGTCCAATACATCGTCATCGTCATCATCAATGGCAACTGGCAATAATAATAATAATAATAATACTGGTGTAAATAGTTCACCATCATCATCATCACCCGCATCTTCTCAACATTCAACAACAACAAAAACAATATCACCATCAGCAAGTGGTACATTAAATACACCCGGATCACGTGCTGGTTTTATGCCTAATTTTTATGATCAAACACAATCTCAAATGAATTGGCCTTTAAATTTTAATCAAACATCATCATGGATGATTAATGATGATAATAATTCACAAAAACAACCATCAAAATCATTACAACAATCAAATGATAATACGCAAACAGGTGGTGATGGTATGATCATGTTTTGTTTTTCTTTAATGCTTATTATGCTTTTATATTTTATTATTTAAAATATTTTCATTTTTATTTATTTTCTATAAATAATTTCCTATTTTTTTTTGTTTGATTATTTTAGGCTTTGAACGAATTGAATCATCGAGTCCAACTTCAGGTTGGAATAAGCCGGTGACAACAAATAATTCAACTGCTAATGGTTGGTCAAATTTTCAACAACAGCAACAACAACAAACACTTAATAATCCGTCCAGATCAAATCCAAATAGCAATCAATGGCCAGAAATGAACAATTTCTATGGAGCTAATACATCAACTAATTCATTTAATTTATCGCAACAGAATAACGACAATAATAGGTAAATAAAACATACATAAACATATTCGTTATCTATGATACATGCTTGTTCATACTACGACCGGTATTTATAAAAATCATTGCAGATTAAGGATAGCCCATATAGCATACATTTAAATTGAATAGTTGATCGGCTTTAAAATACAAAGTTTATCAAGTGAAGAATTAAACTGTCATTGTTTGTTGAAAATTTTCGTCATGGTTGATTGACTACGTTGTTCGATATGTATCCACACTATGTGTAAACCTGAGTATCATTAGTCAAGGAATGACCCTGAACAAGTCATTAATGGCTATTTGCCTCGAATCATTGGTCCGATAGCATGGTCATTACGTTTTGATAGACTACATGTCATAGATTTAAGAAATATATATCGAGCTAATGAATCTCTTTTATTTTTCTTGCAATAGAGTAATCTGAAACATTCGTCGATATTTGAAGTACTGATTATAAAATTTTGCAATCGTTCTAATCGCTGAATCATTTTATTTTAACGTAATATAAATTTCGACATGTTTCATGTTGTTCTATCGTAAAAAAAAACTCATTCCTAATGAACTAATTATTAACTATTTGTAAAAATACGAGAATCTAAGATTTACAATATTTTTCAAGAAATTATGCTAATTAATATTGTTTGATTCTTTAGTGTACGATCACGTTTATGATTACTTCTAAGTAGAAAATCTTTCGATTGTTTATTCAGATTGAGTTAGATGTATTGAATTATGCATGAAGGATTGTGAGATTAAAGATTTAGAATACTGTATTCTTGTGATGTAGTTCAAAAATTTGTCTGAATTAAGATAAGCATCGGAAAATCTACAAAATTCAAACGATATGATTTAGATATGAGACCAAAGAGAATTTCCTCCGTTTGATGCATATGTTTGAAATTTTTTATTCATAATAGGTTTCAATGAGTTTTGAATCTTTTGTTACAGACTGATGTCTGCATTTTCTTTTGAATAGTTAGCTTTGCAAAATGTCTTCACAGTCTAATCCAAGTCCGACGGGCTTGACTTTTGGGTCGTCCTGCTGTAAGAAAACATAAACAACATTGATTAAAGGTTTTTATAACATTTTGATTTTAGAATGAAATTTATATAAGTTTATGAACGTAGGCTTCCTAGAGTCTAACGGAATATGTACTATCTAATTCTATTGAGTACTGTTGAGATCTCAACAGAGGACGCCATGATTACAGGTGAATGTATTGTAGATGGCGCCCGGTATTGAGACTTCAATAGTACGCAATAGAACTTGATAATAGTACCTATATAATCTTTTGGGATCAAAAATTACAACAAAACTTTTAGTTGCCTTATGTTGTGTTTCGTATCGAAAGAAATTCTTATCTCATTTGTTTGTCTAGCTCATCGACAACATGGCAAGATCCATCAAGCAATACAAATGATATGCTTACATTGACAACAAATAATCCAAATAGTTCAAAACATAAATCTTCATCAATAGCTGCTTCACTTACAGGTGCATTAAAATCAGCTATTGCACTTAGTGGTAATAATATTGATCATTTAGCTGGAAATAATGATCCAATGATAACTTATGTTCCACAACCAAAACTTGTTGAACAATTAGGTTGGGATGAACCTGATATAAATGTTTTAAAACGTGCTAATTTTGATGATGGTACATCAATATGGGGTGATCCTATGGAATCAATGTCTGTACCAGTTAAAAAATGGACAAATGGACCAAAAGCAGCATTAACAAATTCAACAAATATTATTTTATCACAACCAATTGTTCAAAAACAAATATCAACAACAAATTCATCAACATCATCTTCAACACAAATGGTGCTTAATGATGAAAATTGGCCAAAACAACAATCACCAACTTTAGTACCACAATCAACATCACAATGGAATGATACAACACCACCAGCAGTAGTAACTACAGCAACAAATGTACCTATTGAACAACCGAATACATCTCAACAACAAAATTATCGTACACAACAAACCAATTGGAATCCACAATCACATTCAAATGAAGATTGGTATGGTGATGGTCTTGTTGATACAAGTCAATGGGATGTACCACGACCACCACATAAAGCACCATTTGATCCTTATGATGGACAAGTTGATACAACTGATTGGGTTGTACCACCATCAGGTGGTATACCAGGACAATTACCAATAGCACGTACTCGTTTTATGAATGAATATGATCTCAATGAAAATCCTCATGATATACGTATGCCAAATTATGATAATCAATATCGTCAAAATCCGGATCTGAAAAATTCCATGATGAATCTTGGTGGAATATTACCACCAACTCATCATTCATTTTCACCACGACCAAGTCCACTTTATCCTCAACAATCAGGAAATATACTTCGACCAATTAATCCAAATGGTGGTTTATCAACACCACCCGGTGCTATTATAGGTCAAAATAGTCATTTATCACCTAAATTACCTATATCATCACCTGTACCAAATCAACCTCAATATGTTCCATTAACAGTTAAACAAAATAATATTCCAAATCAATCATCTCAAACACCAACACCATCACAACAACAATCAACAGGTAATGGAAATAATAATAATAATAATAATAATTCTAATAATAATGGTGCAGTACATGCTCAAATCATGCAACAATTTCGTCTTGCTGTACAAGCCGGTTTAATTAGTCAAGATTTGCTCAATACAAAATTACCACCATATATGTTACAAGTAAATTTTTACATTGATTTATACTTGAAAAAAATATACGATTACTTTTACTTTGATTTGAAAGAATATGTAAAAACTGTAGTATCCATTTTTTTTTGTGAATTATTGAATTTAAATTTAAAACAAATAGTACTATAGTCTTATATGTTCTTTCAAATAAACAAACAATTAAATTTATAAAAATGAACATCTATAGAGAATGTCATGTTACTAAATGAGTTATTTATTTATTGACTATCTTGTGAAAGTAACATCATATAGGATGAAAATTTGTACTTTCTTCCACTGTGAATATCCAAGTAGATCTAATATGAAAAATGCAACTTGTTTTTTTTTTTTTTTTATTTTTATTTGTTTTCTAATAGCTTCTTCAAAAATTATTTGAACTTCAACAAAAATTTCAACAATTATCAATACAATTATCTGAATTAAGTAAAAATAAACCAGGTTTTCCATTACCATTAGTACAAAATGAATATGAATGTTTATCAAAATTAATTGCACAAAAAAAACAAGAAATGTTAATTGTTCAAAAAGAAATACAAGATGCACATACTAAACTTAAACAACAATCAACTAATCCAACACCAACACCATCACAAATGATGTCAAATGGACCAAATATTGTACAAAATACAGATCAATCACGTTTAACACAATGGACAAAACAATCAACAATAGGTGGACAACGAACAACAATGTTTCCACCACCTGGTTTAACACAAAAAGATTGGCAAACAGATACTAATGATCCAAATGAAAATTGGGATCATACTCAAACAAATGAATCAAATAATAATAATAATAATAATCAAATAAGTAATATTGATTCTCATACACATAATAATCAAGTATCATCATCAACAACATTTTCAGATCCATTTTCAAATATTGTTGATGATATTGATGGACCACCACCATTTGTACCTGGTCAATTATGGAATTGGAAATCATCTTTACCTAATGCTGAAGATGATCCAAATGTTACACCAAGTTCATTAACAATTGGTCCTAAAGGATCAACATCAGTTATGACTAATCTCAATGTTGGTGGAGTTGAACGGTAAATTATTTTCTTATATCAACATAGAAAAAATGTTTTTTTTCTTTCCCTCTATAACTATATCTTTGTATTGACAGTCCTTGAACTATGATTAGAAGATGAAGAAGATAGAACAAATCGGAAAGTTTTTTTTTTCTTTTTTGGACGACTGATATAAGTTAGATCAATCCGCATTAAAAAGTCAAGTAAATATCTGTTCTATCTTTGTAATCATTTAATTAAATTAATAATATGTATGTTATAGATGAAAGATGATAAGATTTATTCACCCGACGGCAGATTTATGTGACTTAGATAAATTCAAACATTTGTTTCTCGTTCCATCAGATTGATAAATTTATGTGATGCATCACAATTCTTTACCGCCTTCGGTACTAAATAGTAACAGCGTCATTTTGAATTAGATTTAGTAAACATTCTTAACGAAGCATGAAACTTCGTATGACTAAACTTCAATACAATAATTATAACTTAGTTTCAAAAGCTCGTCCGGAAAAACGTTTTTAGACATTTTCTAGTCTTATTGAGATTTTCTTTTGAGTCAAATAAGAGAAAATATCAAAATGGTATTCCATAGTTTTGTTTTATAAACAGTACTACTTCACTCTTATTCTTTACTTGCCAATGTGAATTTTATAGATATCATTGAACCAATCCAAGATTTCAAATATTCCATTTCCGATAGATTCCTTCATTATTTACATGAATTTATTGGTTTAAGTTTGACAAATATTTCTAATAGGACAAGATAGAATATACAGATAATTGACCGGAAGTCGACAGATCATATCTTTTACATTCTTAATTTTCTCATTATATGAATCGATCAGACATGTGAATAAACAAGTATTTTCCTTTGATGAATTTATTCTTTCAATATTATGACACATGCCTGAAGACAACAAAAAAAAACTTGAAATTGACATTATTCTTTACTTCCTATATTATATACTTGTTTATTCATATGAAATATAAACATGTAATACACTTTGATGTTTATCTCAAGAAAACAAAAACTATCATTAGCTATATTGTGTTTCATATTTGAATTGTACTAATAATTTTCAAAAAAAAAAAAAAAAACAATTTAATTTAGTGCATTTTCAAATCCTCCATTAATGCATCAATATCAACGTCCAGTACAATCAAATCGACCACCATGGCAACAAGGAACATTACATGATCAACAAGGATTTCAACCACCAATGAATGATTGGTCTAAACAACAACAACAACAACAACAACAATATCGAGGTATATCAAAAGCTCCATCACTTCCTCATCCGTCATTTGGTGGTGGTGGTGGTAGTGGTGGCCATCGACCATATATGTAATAAACAGATTAGTACAAGTTTCTTACATTTCTTTTATGTCTCTCTCTCTATCGGCCAAAATAAAGTCAGTGAAATGATAAAAACTGTGTCCTCTTTGTCTCATTACAATCGTGTATATTTACATTTCACGCTCTTTCATTAATGTGTATCTATCTTTATGTCAACTGAATTTCTGTGTATTCTTTCTATGTTGTTTTTTTGCTTTCCACCAAAATGCTAAACTGAGAATTCCCTCCCGGTACACCATCGATTTTGTTTGTTTGTCTCGTTAGCCTTTTTTTTTTGTTTTCCATTGTTTCTTGTATGATCTGTACTCATATATATATATACATATATATATTTAATGGCCGAGCTTCATATCGACAAAACAAATGAACGAACGAAAACGATATCTATTATTATTATTATTGCTGAGTTGTGCAATAGAAATTTTTCTTTTTCTCGCACCAAAAAATAAATATAATATAAAATTCTTTTTTCTTTTCTTTTTTTTTGTCTTCTTGTAGTGTATGTGTGTGATGCTTTTAGCTATATATATATATATAAATATATATCTTTCTGTATGGTTGTGGTGTGTATATCAATTCATTTAATTTCTTTTGTTTTGCTCTAATTTCTTCCTGATTCAAATTTTTTTGTTTTTGTGTCTCTTTGCGCTGCTATAGAATAAGGAAACGAATTTTAAGATCGATTTGAAAACAAAAAAATATAAATATTGATTTTGTTGTGAATGAAAATTTTCACATTTTATGTCTGCATATAAATGTTTTGACTAAAAACTATAAAAAAAAAAAAAACAAAGTAGAAAAGAAATTGATGGTGATGACAAAATAAATAATCGTTTTTTTTTTGCGCTATGTATAGAAACAAATAAATAAACCTTTTTTTTTTGTGTGTGTGCGTGTATATCTGTATCTTCTATGGCCCTATTGCGCTGATCTTTTTTTTTCTTTTTTAAGTGGCACTTACATTTTCCTTGTTTGTTTTTTTTTTTTCGCCTATGTTCTCTCAAAATCTATTATACTAATAAATAAATACATTTGACGAAAATTTAATTGATTTTAATTGTTGATGAATGAAAGAGATGAAAATCTATTTAAAATTATGTTTATTTCAAAACGAAATAGAAATGTTATTTGTTTGACTTATAGATCTGGAAATTTATTCTTTGGTTAAAACTAAGAAAAACTTTATTGTTAGATCGAATTAAATTGTATTATTCAACTTTGTTGTAAGAACATAACCTCATAGTTTGTAGCATAAAGACATTGAATTCGGAAGAAGATAAAGATGTCTGTTCTGTGAGCGATATCATTCGATCAATCATAACGCCGGAGGAAACATGATAGGAAATGATTTCATAGAATAATCATTTTCTGGATGAATAATAAAAATGTACTAGTTCTATACAAATCTAAGAATATTTTGAAAATCAAAGATAAGAACATGTTGCACCTTCAAACATTCTTGAAACAAGCTGTAAGATTCTTCAAAAAGAATTTAATTGCGACTTCTTTTCATAAAGTAAAAGAACTCCTGACATTCACTTGTCTTTGTTTACATTAGATTGATCTTAGACAATGTCAACAACCATTCATTACCCATATTATTCTGGTAAATTGTTTCGTAGAAAAAAAACAAACTTTCTTTAAAATATTTTTCGTATGATAATAAAAGTTTATCAATAAACTTTTGAAGCATTTACTAATATTCAAATAATCTTCTTATTCAATTTATAAATAATTTATTCATTTATTATTCTATTTTATTTCAAATATTTATTGGTTTCATCTTTGAATAAAAGAAAAAGAATGCTTGTATAATGCAAAAAATATTTTGATCGAATGGATTAAAACTAAAGAAATTTAGTTCATTGGATCGAATCTAAGTAAAAGAATTAATGTCGAATGATGTTTAAACAACACCTTTTACCTGTTTATTCTATGATGAAAATTTTCAAACAAATACTGACGACATTAATTCAATATTTTAAATTCGAAACAGATAAATATTTCATTGTTTTTCTATCAGAGAATGATCAAGCTAAAAATCAAATTGCCGATCATATTATTGAGCCAAGAAAACTAAAATAGATTATTATAATAACTCAATTTATAAAATATCGATAGGAATAAAATAAATTCATTGACTAATTTAATCAAATCAATTGATTACATCTTTTTTTCTTTTTTTTACTGTTAAATAAAAAAAAAGCACACATATGGATTAAAATAGACAAAAAAAAGAAAAACATAGTCAATCATCAACAGAAATCTGACACTTTTTTTTTCTTCATTCTTATTCTTTTCCAAGCACATCATTTTTTTTTTTCGATAGCTTACTACATTGATTATTTGTTTTGTATGTCATGTTTAAATATAAAGACAAGAATAAGAACAAAACAAAAAGAAGAAAAAAAACAAAACAAAATAAGATGTCTAATGTAGCTAGAGAAAGTTACGTACGAGGTCTTTCCGATTTGATAAAATATGATTCTCAATGATTTTTTTTTCAAGCTATTGTCATATGTCGAATTATAACATCCTACTGTTTGTTCTTTATTCTTGAAACAAAAGGACAATAACAACTGCTGTGCAAAGAACAAAGCATTTAGTTCAATAGTAAGAACTACTGTCATGATGGGCGTCTTTTTTTTTCTTCTTCTCTTCTTTGTCTTAATAAGGTTCTCGTAGTATTCAAACAATATTCTATAAATGAAATGAGAAAAAAAAAAAACTATCTAGAATATTAATTGTTTGCAAGAACATCAAGAATTATTTACTATGAATATTTGATTCTGAACAAATGTTCATTCTGTCGAGTCAAAAATTCTTCTTATTTACTCTAATCACACCCACCTCCGGTCTCATTTCCTTTTTATTTATTTTTCTCAATCATTTTCTACACTTCTTTTTTTTTTTTTGTGTTATTGATGAAAATGTCTATGGTACCTTCGAATGAAAATAACAAACAATTGCCTTCAGATTTTTTTGTGTTCAGAATGTCTTCACAAATTTTTCAAATATATTTAAAGTAAATAAATAAATAACTCTTTTTGAGTTTTCTAATTACAATATTGATTGAAGAATTTATTTTCGATAATTTCACGTTTGGATAAATTATCTAAATCATTTTTAATAAATAATCTAAATCAAAGAAAAGTTTTCTTTGACCTGCTTCTAATTAAAATTCGTTTTAATAAATATAGTCATCTTGTATAATCAAAGCTTATTCGAGTGAGTAAATTAATCTCTATAGGCTATAGTCAAATGATGGTTGAAAGTGAGACAAAGAATGTGATAATGACTTTATAACATGTAAGTATTTCACTAGGGAGATACACTAGTAGTCATTGATCATATATGTATGCATGAAATGAAACTAATGCATCGGACAAACTGACTTTGATCAGAAGTATTTTTTTTCCTTTTCTTTTTCTGCTTTTTTCATATTGTTGAGTGATTCGACCTTTTATTGTCTGTATAGACTCTTGTGCATCTCTATCAAATATATCACTTGAATTTGATAGAAATATTTTGTTGTTCTGCACAACTAATGCACAAAAGCACCTAGAACACTATTAGAATGGGTCATGAGAGACATATTTAACTAGTCACTTTTTCTATTTGAACCAAAAAAAGACGAACTAGTACTATAATGTTAGATGATTGAATGGAAAACCTACTCAAATATACATGGCTAAACATTTTAGACATTATCGATACCCGTCAGCTCGTTTGTGGTAGACATGCTCAACCCTAATAGTATTTTCTATCGTAAATTATCAACATGCTTAAGAATAAAAATTATCTATGCATGCGTATACATGCAAAAAATTTCTTCCGCTGATTGCCGTTCAACAGAGAATTCGCTTATTCGAATAAGCGAAAAAAAAACAAAAGAAAGTACTTAATCGAATTGCATGATTAATTTTTGGTTATTACAACGAACTAATCCGGTTAGAAAAAAAAAATTATGAATAAGGCTTTTGTTTAATTTTTTTTTCTTTATATTTTATTCATATAAAGACAGGTGAGGAAAAAAAAAGAAAAAAAAAAACGAATATTTTAATAATTATAATTATAGTTCTATATGAATTGAATGACAAGACAATAAATGTAGGTGATGATTGATGATGTTTAGTCGACAATGACAGATGCTTCTGTACTATTGGGGCGCATACAAATGACAGAAAGTGGTCTCTGTAGAATATAGAGAAGGAAAGGAGGCGCAACATATAACTCTTGTTGCGCTTGTCGATTGCTATTTTTTTGTTTCCTAAATTGAAAGAGAGAGAGAGAGAGAGAGAGAAAAAGAAATAGAAGAAATTCGACTAGCACTTCAGACTACGGTTCTCTCTCTCTCTATATATATATAAAGATACATTTGACGTATCTAAAACAGTCGTGTCAATCTTCAACTGAGAATATTTATATACATAAGTATGAACAAGAATATTATTTTGTTTTTGTTTTCTTAAAGAAAAGAATTTTTATTAAATAAATTATATTTCATAATCATTAATAGATCATTTGAAGAAAAAGAATTTTCTTTATCTAGTTTTCTTTTATGTTCGTCAATACAAGTAACTTTACTTTTCTTCTTTCTATTTTCTGAACGAAATCATCTAAAAAGAAAAATAATTGAAATCTATGGAGATGCCAAGACGACTTGACCTGCTATTAGTCTCTAAATTTCAGATTTTTTACCATTAATGTTCTTCATCGAAGATCGAATAAGAAGAAAAAACAAAGGTCATCTTTATATAAGTGTCCATAATAATGTTACTTGATCAAGATAGAAGAATAATTTAGTAGAACATCTTAAAAACATTTGTCAATCATAGCAATTGCATAAATAGTTGAGGTAGAAAAACAAATGAAATTACGTAACTGATTTTATTGATATTTATAGTTACATATTGAGGTAAGAGACAATATTAATTATTTTGTTTTGTTGTTTTTCATTAGAGATTATCATCTTTATTCAAATGACGATTATTATTTTTAGGGCATCAAGAGGAAAAAGAGACTCTTAAGAGGAAGATAAGATAGACAAGCAAAAGTTGGAGTATTCTAAGTTATTCTCTTTCTTGTTCCTCTCTCTCTCTCTCTCTCTCTCTTTCACTCACACTATATGCTTCTTTTTCTTTTTTTTTCAAGAAAAAGAAATATTCTCTTTATCGTTTGATCATTTTGGTTTTATAGTAGATATTTTCTTTTCTTTTTTTTTAGAGCATACTATATTTATTTATTTATAATGATACGGGTGACCTAGTGAAAAAGGTTGTTCTGTACACCTTAATCATTATATGGCCTCATCCTATTGGTTTCGTTTAATTTGTACCCATAACCCAATTTTAGTACATCAAATCGAACATATATTGTTGACGATTATTATCAACGTTATTATAACTATTATTATCGAATCAAAGTCTTTTCGACTTTATGTTCGTCGCTTCAATGGACTGTTTATTAACTTATAATTTTACATGTGTCAATAGTACATATGCTCAATTCAATTCATCATCAGTTATTGTTGGAGATGTAATCGATCCAAATCTATTAAACATTGGCGATAATTCAAATATAGAATCGATAACATCAACAAGTCATTCGATATCATCACCAATTCTTGTATCTGTACAACATTGTATTATAACAGCTATTATACTTGGTGCAATTATTTTATCAACAATAACAGGAAATATATTAGTTATTGCTGCTGTTATTTTAGAAAAAAATCTTCATTCAGTTGCTTATTATCTTTTTGTATCCTTAGCTGTAGCCGATTTAATGGTAGCTACTATGGTAAGTCATTGATTTATTATCGTTTTTTTTTGTTTTCTCTCAATTGTCAAAAAAAGAAACATTATAGATGAAAAAAGAAAAAATTGTTTTTAAATGTCGATTCTATTAGAGTAGTTCCTAATGGATAATGTGATATGCATTTTAATATATGTCCATCAGTCAATTATATTTAGTAGAGTTTAGTTCTTTTGTCCAATTGAGAATATAACGATATATTAATAGTTATTGTTAAAAATTTGCATTATAGAAACTAAATACTAACCTATAGATCTTTTCTTGTTTTATTTAACATTCACATGTGTTATACACATTTGTTGTTTTATAGAAATGAAAATTGATTTTTTATGACGTACATATGTGTTATGATGATTTTTTTTGGTTTTTGTTTTTTTGATTATTCTAGAAGAAGAAAAAAAAAAGTTAGTACTCCTATTTCCTTCTTCGTGTTCTCCTCCCTCTTCCTCCTCCAACGAACGTCATTTATCAGAGAATAAACAAATAAATATACTCGACTTGCTTATATCGTCAAGACAAGGATAGATAATTGATCGGAATAAACGATATCTCATTTTGACGATAAATGATACGGCAAAGATGACCCATTCTATGTTACATACACACACAAGGACATTTGTTTTTTTTTTATACTTTAAACAAACTAATAATATATTCTATAGAAAAAAAAAATGTTGATAGAAAACAGAAAACAAACCAGCCATCCAGCTGTTACTATTACTATGTCTATTTGCACTGTTTTTGTTTTTTTGTTGTTACTATTAGTAAAAATGCATGATAGTCGAGATAGATATATAGATAGAACGAAGAAAAAAAAACAAAGAATCTCGTTATACTCTGTTATTTTCATGGTGCATAGTCTCATTTTGATTGTATTATTATTATTATTATTATTAGATTATAAAGTCACGCACAATATTTTTGATCTTTTTTTCTTTTTAATACTTAATTAGAAAAAATAATGATTTAATTAACTTTGTTTTATTTTACTTTTTTGTTTTTTTTTGTATTGTAATCATCGATCATTGTAAATCAATAAATGAAGAACAAAAAACATGTTAGAATTATAATTCTTTTTTAGAAATACATCCACCCACTTTAAATAAATGTTAAATACATTAGTATAGACAAGTACAAAAAAAGAAAAAAAAAACAAGAAACAAATTAACGAAAACATTAGCATTCGAGATGAAACATATTAGTCGCCTGATTAAAAATACGGATCAAGTCCGTTGAATTATTTGCTTGTCATGCAATATTAGCCTCTTTTATAAATGATTACTCTTAAGAAGTTTGTTTGTTGTTTTGTTTTTGGAAAAACAAAACACAAATTGTGTGCTTATCTCATGATTAGATATATGTTCACTTCATTGACTGATTCATATTGATGCTATTCTGTATGTTGTCATATTAGTCTTTGTTAAAATAAATTTATGATGACATATATTCTTTGAATATAAATTAGAATTCAAAATGTAAGATAAAAGCTATATTAACTATTGTATTGATTGTTTGACAACAAAATGTCTAGCAGTAAAAAATACAAAGTTAGTTATTTTATTGTCAAATATTCTTGATGTGCATACAAACATAAAAAACATATATATATATATATATATTAAAAGGAAACGAGAATATAATGGAGAGTAGACATCTTCAATAAATATTTTTCGTTATGAATAATAATTTAGTTTAATGTATAGAATTAGATTAAATATAACTTATTGATTTGATTAAGAAATATTTGTTTGAATTTGAAATAAATAAAATTCTAATTCAAAATTTTCTTAGGTTATGCCTATTGCTGTACTGAAAGAAGTGACACGTTCATGGGTTCTTGGAAATGTGGTTTGCGATATATGGGTTATGATCGATTTATTATGCTGTACTGCATCAATACTACATCTTGTTGCCATCGCACTCGATCGTTATTGGGCTATTACTAATTGTAAGCAAGTGTTATTTTTACTAATCAAAATTGATAAATATCTTCTTGCTAAAATTTTCTTTTATTATCTGATCAACAAGAAAATGATAAATCTTATTTATAGATAACAAAATGTTTGTCGTTATATTCAATTTAGATACCAATGTTTGATTAGAACGAACGCAAATCTTTCTAATACAAGGCTTGATAGAGTTTCGTCTGATATCAATTTGACTTTTTATTGGATATAGCTAGAAATACAAAAGAGGGCGATGATCATCGATACACTAGTCTGGATTTATACTCATAGACTAACGTTAAGTAAATAGATATAGGCGCTTCGTTCTTTCAGTTTAATCATATTTCTAAGTCGAAATAAATTTAAGATGACCATAGTTTTATTATGTTTTCATCGTCTTCAACGTTGCATCTCTTGACATGACGACATTTTGACAATTGACATAGTTCAGATATTGATTAATGTAAATTCGATTATGTGAAATTCTCTTCATTGTATTCACCAATGAATAACTTGTGATCATTTACTACGCATAAAACTCTAACAAGATGATACAATTTTCAAATGACGAATACGATAGTCGATTTTTCTTGTTACAAATGAAAATCGGATATGGTCGATCGTAGAATACAAAAATTTCCAGTCTAAAAATAGAATCGTACTTTTATTGTTCTCAATGAAATATTCTTATTCACATTTGAGCATTGTTCCGATGATAAGAAATACTTTTGTTCCGATTGTTTGTATCCAGGGACTATTATATTCTACACATTTCTTAGACATTTTGATGGAAGTCTCATAAGAATCAAGTTATGAATAGTTCATACTTTTAGTATAGAATACGTCGGATCTGTCCAAACACAATCGTTTTCAGAATCGATTTGACACACATTCTAGTTGATCACCAAATATCACAGTCATAGTATTTTCTATTTCTTGAATTCGATCCTTTTTTTTAAAAGAGAAATCGATTTGTTTTCTGTTGAAAAAAACTATTCGAGCTGAACAGTGAAATCATCGATTAGAGTTATTAATGTATAAAACTATAGAAACTTTCACAGGTTATTCAAGTATATATATATATATATATCTTTGATAATATTGACTATATTTGCTTTTTAATTCATGTCTCTGGAATTGATTCAATGTTGCATGGTTAAAAGATAAATGTCGAGTTTTTCTAATTGGACATCGAATTCTATCATTTTCATAATTTGATTGAAAATAATCATTCTTGAAAGATATTTAATGAATTCTTCATTAACATGTACTATGTTGAAAAAATGAATTGATTTTTCGATAAAATTTCTTTTTTTTTTTTTTTTATTATTTCAATTAATCAGTGGACTATGCAACAAAACGAACACCTGGTCGAGTTCTTATTCTTATATGTATTATATGGATGATTTCCATTCTTATTTCAAGCTCTCATTCATTCCCTATATTTCGTAACAAACAAGGTCGTCTAGCTGGTCAATGTCAAATAATAGGTAATGTTACTTATACAATTATTTCAACTGTTGGAGCTTTTTATATTCCACTTATTGGTATGTGTATTATTTATTGGAAAATTTTTCAAGCAGCTAAATTTCGTATTCGACGTAAAGCATTTAATACAAATCAACCTGTTTCACCTATGTTAATTCATGAACAACATGAAATGTTATCATCATCACAAACATCAACACCAAATCATCATATAGATAGATTACATTCACCATTTCATCATATAAAATTTTTAAAACGTAGCCATTCTATAAGTCATCATCCAAATGATATTGAACCTGATAATTTATCAACATATTCACTATCAACAAATTATCATAATGATTATCAATTAAAATCTTTAAAAACAACACCATTTTGTTTTATTAAAAAAAAATATAAAGAAAATTTTGAAAATCAACATCATCATCATCATCATCAAAAAAATCATACTATTCAACAAACACGACCATTATTAACATCAACATATCAAAATGATTTACCAATACCAATTAATACAATTAATAATCCATTATCAACACCAAATTCTACACCATCAAGTTCTCCAAATTTTCATCATACACATATTGTTATAACTGATACAAATCATACATCAATAGGTAAATCTCCTTTAGCATTATCACGTAAAAAAACTGATATTAAACGTGAACGTAAAGCAACAAAAGTTCTTGGTGTTGTTATGGGTTGTTTTATATTATGTTGGTTACCATTTTTTATTGAAGAAACAGTATGTGGAATATTTCATTTAACAATAAATGAAAAAATAATTAGTGTTTTAACATGGTTGGGTTATTTGAATAGTATGTTAAATCCTGTGATTTATACAATATTTGCACCTGATTTTCGACAAGCGTTTGGAAAAATTTTATTTGGCAATTATAAACAACGATCAAGATTAAAAAAATAATTCTTTTTTTTGTTGTTTCAATATAAATCTATATTTATATATTGAATTTCTTTTCTCTTCAATTACATACCGGTTGTTAAAATTGCTTTTTTTTTTTCTTGTTTTTTTTTTGTTCGATTTCATTTTCTGATTCTTATCTTTGTGGTTGTTTTTCTTTTGTTTTACAATTATGGAGTCATATGGCAATTCAATACAAAAGTACTAAATAATGAATATTTACATTAATTTTTATTCGATTTAGTATATTTTTCTAAAGCAACAGATTTAATTTATTAGATGTTCTTTCTATTGAATATAGAAATAAATATTGTTTTAGGAAACTTCTTGATTAATTACCGATAATTGATTGTTGAAAATAGTTATTTATAAGAAAAAATTTATTAATATGTTTATCACACGGACAGCAGAACGATTTGAGTATAGAATTACGCTCAAGTTTTCAGTCGAGCCCGCTTGGAAAATAGGTTGAAAAGTGGTTTTCTTGTTAGATTTTGATTCTGTACATGTATATTAATTATCTAATGCTATAATCTTTTAATGAAATAACAAAAAAAGAAATTGCTTAAAAAAAACCAGACTACGAAACATCAAAACTTTTCATTACGAAAAAACTAAAATTTTTTTCTATGCAAGCATTTATTTGTGCCATCTATGAGCTTACTTAAGCATTTGTTCATGCAATCTATGAGCCTACCAAAGCCTTATGGTTTCAGCGTTTATTTTCATCAAAGCTATTTCTTCTAACTCTGATAGCTGATAAATCGTTTTATAATTAATATCTCTATTTTTGTATTAGTGTTCATATAATATTGGAAAAATAAAGTAGAATTTAAAAAAAGGTAAATCATGCATCCTTTTGCAGATTGTCAGTTAATATTTTATCTTCAAGCAGTTGGATAAAAGGTCCTGTGCAGTTTATAATTAATTAATAAAATGTATTTATATCTTCTCACTACAGCAGAAATATTAAGATACATAATTCACCTATTTTCTATTTCTAAATTGATATTATCTATTACATTTTACTTCTAGAATGTTCTAATATTATACTAACTGAACTTCATAGGTCTGACTAAAAGTTTTGACAACGTTACAGGCAATTCTAATAAATTAGTTAACATTAATAAGTTTATTGCATGAATAAATACTACAATTCTTCATTCATAATGATACGTAGAATAAATCTATTTTAGATTTGGTTCAGTTGAGACTTCTTATATTCTCAATACTGAATCAGTTTTAACGATTTGTTTTTTTTCATATATATTAAAATATATCTGGTAGCATAGTTCAGCATATAAATTACATTTTTAAAGATTCCTACTGATGCAACTTTACGATGATATTCAAGACAAACAAAAATTTGATGGTCATGTGAATAGGTATCTTCAATGTATCATGTATTTCTGAGTGGTCGTAGGAAACATTTTTATGCTATGTTGATGTTTTAGGTAGATTTTGTATGTCGTCAGTATCTAATGTACGGAAAGTTGTAAAAACTTAAAAATTTTCTAATAAAACTACTATTTCTCTGGGTTCGATATCAAGCAGAAGCGACCAGTTTTATCCGTAAAAAACTATTGATAAAAAAATTTAACTGGCCAAAACGGATCAGATTCATCACATGAATTGTCTCATTTATTTTGCAATGGAATGCGTTATTCTTAAATAATCTAAAGATGAGAAAAGTCACATAGTATCAGATCGCTCATCATCTCAATGCTTGATACTAATAACACTATGCTAAAATTTGTTATGAAAATTCAGTTATATTTCATGATGAATGCTGACAATTATGAAATATTATTACCAACTATGAGGCATGAATTTACGATACACACATTCAACTAATGTTAGCTGAATTAAATCATCCTTGAATAACATTATATATTTATCAGAGTTGACACTATAATTTATTATTAAGACTCTCAAAAAGTTCAATTTTCGTGATAAATACAAAAATTCGGGTAAATACATGGACGATGGCTGAGGTCTGATCGTTGATAAATGATAGGTTTTCTTCAAACCAAATGGAAAATATTTTTCACTTTTCCTGTATTCACGTTTTTTCGATCATAAATGCCAGAATTCTCGAAGGAATTCCATTGTGGCTAATGACATTTCTTTTTTTTTTTTGTAAGAGCATGTCGAGCTGTAGAATACGATAGAGTCGTTTTTCGGAATTAAGCTTTGTAACTTTTTATGTAAAAGAATGTTTTAATAAATTAGAACGTCATTTGTTGAATATATCTCTTAATCCTGATGTGTTCTTTCAAACAGGAAAAATAACCAAGTATATAAAATCAACACTCAAAGAAAATGTTCAGTCATCGAATGAGCTATTTTTCACCCTTGTTTGTTAAAGATCTCACGAAAATATCATGGTATGAGACTGAAAATTTTATCATAGTCTCTCCATTACTGTACGTCAAGTAAGATCGAGTTTTTAGTGAAAGACTTAAGTAATGATATTGAACGTAGTTTAACTGATTGATCATATGAAGTTTTTTAATCATCAAAGTAATAACTACTTTGAACAACTAATAAAATAAATTTAAAAAATATCTCGTCATTTTTATGTGTGTTATAAAATTCTGACAAAATTTTTGATCAACTCTATGTCCTTAATTCCATTGAAGCCTCCAAAAAAAAACCAATATCCCCTTTACATTACATACAAGTTAACTACACTTGAAGAAGATTTCACTCTGTTTTTTTGGCTTTTTATTAATAATCTAGTCTTACTTTTTTCTTTTTTGAGATTATCATTGACGCATCTTAAACATATAAGAAAACTAATTTTGAATATAATGAAACCAAATAAATAATAATGAAAAGAAAAAAAAAACAGAGAACACGGAGAAGTTACTTTTCATTTCATTTTACGCTTCGACTCTTATCGATATGACACCTATTTTAAACAACAGATTATTCTTTCTTATATTATTTTTCATAATAATCAATACAATTAATGGCTATTATACAAATCAACGTATCGATATAGAAGATCAATCGACTATTGATGAGGATTTAGCATTACATAATAGAAATGATATAAGAAGTGTTCTTTGGCCTAAAATTTGTTTTAAAACATTATTGAAAAGAAACTACAATGAATATCCGTATGGTGATTATCAACAGCATGAATATTACAAACATATTATAAAACGTAGTCCACGAAAATGTTATCCGTTTGATACAGTATAAAAAAAAGCAATATTACCGGTAAATGAACCAAAAAAAAAAAATATATTGTTTATCATCATATTTATATATAAATATATTTGTAATTCATGTTCTTTCATGACTAAATATAAAAATACAAAGAAATATTTAACTTCAAAATTTGTTTTCTACTATTGAATTCATTATATTTTCAGTGTTCTTACAAGATTCTTTTACTTTTTGAGAAGAGTAGCAATTTCAAAAATTGAAAGATCAGAATGCACACTATACAGTTCTAACTATAAATGATTTGAATGACAAAAATAAAGAACATCGTCTTCATGCTGAATAAAAGATCGAAAAAATAAACTATGAATACAAGGTCAATGTCTGATCTATCAACAGCTATATAATTTATCACAAATTATTTTCAAAGTGTTGAGATACATCAGTGGGTGGAAGAATATTTTATGAAGATTAATGTTTTTCATTTAAACAAAGTCCTTGAAAACATGTTTATAATATTATCCTCATAGTCAAATTGGCTTCATCTTTACCTTAGAAGTTATAGAATTGACTAGGATTTTCTCATTAGTCTGAATCATTAGAATATGTACTTATGCTGAATTTACCTTTGTATCGACGTAATAGTTTCGAAATTTTCTTTAGATTCTAAAAAACAAGCAAATATTAATTTTGTGAATGATAATATTATCCAATGATTATTTGTAGATAAATTCAAAATGAACTGTATTTAGCTTTATAGAGTTTAAATATCAAAAAAACAAAAGTATTCTTGTTAGAAAGAAATTGTCAAGTAAAATATTGGATTAACATATAGAGAGGATCTATTGATTAGAATAGATCCTGAAGAATTCTAAAACATTATCTTTATCTAGAGAATCATTAATAGTTTTGCTAGATTCCAATGATACAATGGAATTTCAGTAGCAAACTTGAACAAAAGAATTTTGAACATAAAATTTTTGTTTATATAAAAATCTGTTAAATCTATGAATATCTGAAATATTAATATGCTTATTAAAGTATTCAATGTTCAAAAATCGATTAAAGTTGAGAGACGATCAGAAGAATGAGTAGTTTTTTCAGTATTGAGCCTATGATCATTTTGACCAATACTTTTGAGATACTTTTACGATCATGAAATTGATTAATCAGCCCAATATCAGGTCAAAAATTTTCCATTCAATTTTCTTTCCATTATCTTATCCATATCTTTAGGACGATATTGTCTTAAGTATAATATTTTCATAAAGTTGACTTTTAATGTACAGTTTACTTCAGAAATTTAGTCAGTGTTTATACTATGTCCACAGAAAATTTCTTAATCATAATGAACCTGAACTTATAACAATTTGAAATAATTGATTCTTTCTTCAACAAATTTTTTTTTGCATATCTTTTAACTTAAGTTATTATTACTTTTTTATTTTTTTGTTTGCACAATTGTTCAAAACAGTTGAAACCATATAAATCGAAAGAGAAAAATGCAACCTACATTTTCATAAGGAAAAATTTCTAAAAACAAGATGTCTATGAAGTGCAATGCTTATTTTATGATAAACTTCATCTGAACTCTTTATCATTTTTATATTATGAGTAATTTTTCTTTCCAAGTATTATATTTATAAGAATGTCTCATACTGCATAAAATCGCAGATGATTTAAAGTTTCCCAGAAAAAAACTTTTTCGATTTCAAGAGATCGTTTTATGAAAAACTTACAGGATCAGACGCTTTATAAGAAAATGATACTTAAAGCATAAACGTTCAAAAACTGTTGTTCAGTATTGTATTAAGAAAATCTTTATTTGA